TATATTCAAAATCTCCAAGTAACTTTGCAATCATTTCAGTAAATAGGAAAGTTCTGTCATCTACTATACACAATTAATTAGCATGCCAAATACCAAAATCATCTCCGTTGTTTTCTGTGTAACATACAGCATATTTATTTCTTATCATTTCCTCGATCTATAACAATGTTAACTGTGGACATTTTCGTCATAATTTCGTAAAATTTCCCCGACAGTAGATCCTACTCTAGCAGAATAAACACATCCGTAACAGATGGATCAGTGCAAATTTTACAATGTATGTCTAATAAAGTAATTATTTTAATGTAAACAGAAACTTCTAGCTGTTATTAACAGATTTTGGGGTGTTTTTTCACTCGACACCAGCAATGTTCTACTGATGTATACAAACGAATAGGGTTGTCTATTCTATTCAGAACTAAACTGTCGTCTGCTGCCATATTGAAGCGTCTGTGACAACAATAGTCACGTGGTATCGGCCATCAAAATCTAAATATAGCATGGTAATCATTTCAAAATCATATGCATTCAAGACAAAATGTTCGAAGGTTAAATTATACCTATCCACTGTATAAGCCAATTTGACAGACCTGTAACAACATGTGAGAGTATGTCATTCCTGTAAAATGACTTGTCTGTTTAAAGAACATTCTGCATACCATCCACGAGGATGCAGACATTTTGAAGTGCCCCTTATGGCCATGCAAATCATACTCTCAACAACGAAAACAGTTTATTATATGCATACGTAACGACTGCTGGCTTTTTCCTGTTACACAGGCATAAATAAATTGAAAAGATGTGTTTATCTTGATGTATGATAAGGTACGATTATCATATGAGTAATAAATATAATGTTATTTTGTAGCGACTAGAGCTATAGTCTGTTTCATATTTACACTCCCTTGTACATTTCGTAAGAGTTATCTTTCTTTGTGCCTGAACAGTTCATAACAGCAGTGCAACCAGCATAGAGAGGTCCTGGGATGAAGCCATCAGGAGGATTACAGAACATCCTCCTGGTCAGTTGTTTGCTGATGATGCAGAAGACGTTGCAGCAACACCAGAGGCAGCAGCATCCTCTGCATCATCACAAGGACAAAAAAGGTAAATAAATCTAGCTGCTAGAATATAATGCATCTGTTGTAAAAATGAATATTCCACTTCAGTGAACATTTATACACATACATGATTGTATATAACTCATAAGTGCAATCTTTTGTGTA